AGAAATGGAATCTAATATTCATAAATACATATTCATTAGTGTATAATCACCTGATTATAGGAGCCTTTGTGTTTATATTACCTTAAAATTAGACATTTTTATCTTTAAACGCTGCAGGTCGCCTTCCATGTCCGAGTCCACCATGTTGAACCACCATGTTTCTACAGTAGCCCAGAACAAACAAAGCAAACACTGGCTCTAGATAAGGCGTTTCTCATTTTTTCCCAGGTCTTCAAATACAGCAAGCGGTGTTTAGTTAATTGCAACCTGCAACTTCACCGCTAGATGCCACTAAATCCTACACACTGGTCCTTTAAATCAGCAGAAGGTCCAAATGAGACCATCAAGACCAAGAAGGAACTAATAAACAGCCACAAGCTGTGTCTCAATGCCAAGTTGCATACTAATTTCTGTGATTACTCTGGATGATAAATACTCAACAATGTTGAGTGTGATTGCTGTGGTTAATTCAACTCTATGCACTTTTTCACAACAGACATTTTAAATTTCTCATAGTATGAAAAGCACAGTTCTGCAACGGCTCTGTTCTATTAAAGTGTCCCAGTAAGCCAAGACAGTGTGACAGTGAGTCAGCATGTGCGATACCAAGACTCGGAAACTGAAGCAGCTGAATAGAAATCAGTAATGTAAAGTGCTTTAGTCCAAATGTCTTTTGTGAAAAAAGCCTATTATACAGTATGTGTTACACAATCACTTCATGTAGTATTCACTGTAATGTTTGCAGTCAGTTTGCAAAAAATTATGTTCTTTACCATTTTTTAATAGGAAATGATGGAATATATCCATCAACGGATGCACAATCAAACTGCAGCTTTGAATTTTACATTACCATTTAACTTCCAAAGACTTATTGCAGATGTTTTCTTACATTTTTGGACACATGTGATTTTAAAAAAAAATTATCAAAATTGGCATGTAGTATGCAATTGTGTGGGTCCTCTAAATATGTATATATATATATATATATATATAGGATATAATGACATGTAGATAAATCTGCATGAGCTACTCTACAGTCTTAACTCTTAAATACACTACACAATAGATTCAACATCGCAGGATTCTGCGGATGAAAAGTGTGTTTGCCTGCTGGCAGGGAAAATGTCCGTGTTTATATATTTTCCAACAAAGCATCTTGATGATTCAGCTGTTAAAGGCACCCCATCACGGTGACGTCCCAGGTTAAAATCCGGTTGGGGACGTTTGAAGCGCGTCGTCCTCTCTCATCCATCCAGTCATCCTGTTCAGTGAAATGCCCAAACAAAAATAATCTGAAAGAAACAGGCAGGACATTTTCAAATCAACACCTAACAGGAGCAAAGACAAAGTCTGACAACAACCGGGATGTAAATGTATTTGACAGCCGCTTAAACGTATGATTCATGTAATTGCGCACTGCGGCTGGAGGTTGCATGGGCTGAACCTATCCGTCATCAGCACTACCTCCTGAGCTGCAGTCGCTGGCTGTCGGACCGTATCGGCGTGGCCCTGTTACTGGCGGAAGATAACAGACCTCACGACGACACAGGACTTAAATCACAGTGTCACTTTACAGCTCTGCCACCTGGGCCTGTGTGACCCGGGTCTCTGCTTCCCAGCCAGCTGCTCCTTCATAGCGTGTATATGTACTTAGGTTTGTGTGCTTGTTTGTGTGGATGTGTGTGGGTTTTCACAGGTGTGAAACTCTCTGTTCCTGTGGGTTAGTGCAGGCAATTTTATTTATCCCTGTGAGTACCTATTCATTCCTGGGGTCCTTTCCTATTCCACAGAATCAGGATTCTTCAGCATTTTATTCCTATAACTAGACGTTAAAAATATTATTTTAACCCTGGAAGACTAGTGAATCACCTTTTAATAATTTTTTTACACATACAGAGGCTTGTTTCAATGTTCTGAAATGTTCCATTATAGATTTGCATCCTTCTTATTCTCTTCTTTAATTGTCTCACTGTGGTTTACCTGAAAGAGATGTTATATTCACATGCATGGTCAGTCTTTGAGGTATGTAAAGGTAGGTAAAATCATGTGTCTGAAACAATCACTTCACCAGGAGATCCGCTAGACATTTACACTTGCATCTGCCGTCAGTGTTTGTCCTCATTTTTGTGGTAAAACACAAGATTCAAACAATGCATGGATCTCCTCTTTAAACATAATGGTCAAGAGACTTCATAGGTGAGCTTTAATTACATTTAGATACAGCTCATTTACTTTTGTCTACTTACATTTCTGCCAATCATTTGTCAGCACATACAGCATGAAATTAGATTAACATTTACTTGTTTTTAATGTGCAAACTTTATGGCGTCACATCTGTTTCATAATTACATCCTGTTCTGTTAAAAACAAAGACATGGATGTCGTGCAGCTGTTCCACTTGTTTCATATGACAGACAAACTTTGACGTCCAACACACATTTGCATATAGATCTGCAGTTGAAACAAATGATTGTCACGTTACCCCTGTCCTTGTGCTAGCATGTGAATCATCGTGCACAGGGTACAAACAATATGAGCAACTGCTCATCAAAACAACACTCAAAAGCGTGACTCACGGTCAAAAACTCCACGTGCGACCTTTAACTTCAGGAGAACACAGGTGTCATTTAGTCATAGCTCATTTACTTCCGTGTACTCCAGTTTACATTACTTTCAGTCATCCTCATATGCAGCCAGCATGAAATTAGATCACTTGTTGTAGCGGACGATCTTTTATGGTGTCACGTCTGGCTCAAAATTAACTCCTGTTGAGATGTCGGAAATAAGAAGACATGAATGTGACAGCAAAATTTCTAAGGTGACATGTTTCTAAAGGGATTATTTTGTGAAGACTCTGGTTTCTTGGGGTAGTTGTCAGATGAGAGAAGGCACAGTGTGATGTAAAACAGCTGTTATATAAAAATTCTTAACTCAGTGAAATCAAGAGGAAATATAGGAACTGTGACTAAAATTTGAAGAATCAAATTTGGTCACAGCAATACTAGTCTGAGGACTATTATGAAATTATTTTTCACACTGGGCAGGAATCAGTGGCAAAAAAAAAAAAAATGAAAGTTAGAAAAATGACAGAAACAGGGCGCC